TAATTATGAATATCCGGATCAACTTATATATATATATATATATATTATCAACTAATTCTTCAAGATTTTAAAATTAATAATTATATAAGATTCTAATAATTATAAAATTTATGGTATTTAAATTGATAATATTTGACAAATAAATTTAAAATTTGACTAATTAATTTATATTTTTTAAGATTTTATAAAGTGTTAATTGACAAGCAAAACTAATGTGAATATGTAAACAAAATGCTCAACGAAAGCTTTGCTATGAACTCAAATAAATGGACACCTCTAGGCTTACTAAGAAGGTTTCTAGGATTCTAATCTAATACTCCTGAACTCATATCAGCAAATTTAAAGAGTGTAATGATATTTAGAGAATAAACTCAGAATTTGATTTGTTAAATTATACTTTTCAAGATTTGATGGAATGTTAATTGACAAGCAAAACGAATGCAAAACGAATGTGAATATGTAAACAAGATGCTCAACGAAAGCTTTGCTATGAACTCAAATAAATGAACACCTCTAGGCTTACTGTGAAGTATCTAGAATTCTGATCCAATACTCCTGAACTTATATCAGCAAATTTAAAGATTGGTGATGCAGATGCAGCCTTACTAAACAGACAATAGTGTAGCTATATAGGGACAATTTTTTTAATATTTTTTATATTAAAATATTAATATAATAGTTTGTTGAATGGTTAATACATGGAAGTTATTATTGTTGATTTATATTTTAATATTATATATAATATATATGTCCAGCTCATTACATTAGATTTTTTTCCTTTTTTTTTTCTTCCCCTAATTGATCGAGTCATTTTTTTCTTTTGAGTTATTCCCTGTCTCTCTATCGTATGCAAATTTTTGGTCAAGACTTTAAATACAATTAAATAATTATTTTTTTTGCCTTTTACTTTAGATAAATTTTCTTTTATCTTTTTTATTTGTTTTATTGTTTAATTGTAGTTTTATTTTTTTATAATTAAAATTAAAAATATTAGAATTTATTATAATTTAAGATTTTTGATATAAATATATTCAAAATAAATATTTGAATCTGTTAATTTAATCAATTAAATATTTATTTTTTATTATAAGAAAATAAATTAATGTTGTTAAGAATAGATTGCAAAATAGAATATAAGATAAATGACAGTTTAGTTGTATATATTAAAAAATATCTTAAATAAAATTGGTAATAAAGTTATTATGAAATGATTTTAAAATATAAAAACTTAAGAGAAGAATTATAATATAATTTTTTTATTTTAAAATTAATTTTACTTATATATTTTAAATTGATTTTTAATATATATTTATATAATATAATATTTATTAATAATTTGCTATTTTATTTAAAAAATTATGGCTCAGTCGCTGTAAATAGAGATAGTTGCAAAAGTCTACGCTAAACAAAGAAAAATCGATATGCTTTCTTGGACTCCATATGATAATAGATGCATGCAATCCTGCAAAAAATTACTCCTAAGAAATCGAAAATTGGGATACACCCCCCATTTTATCTCCGAGTGGAAAAAAATACATGCTCTTCTTGATGATAGCAATTGCAATTTGTGAAGGTACAACACTAAATATATCCTCAAAAGAAGTTTCTCAAGACATAAGATAGGTGAAAATTCTGCCAAACTGAAATTGCCGATGCATTGATCTGGAGAAAAAATGACCAACGTAGATAAGACCCACATTTCTGTCTGGTTATGACTTCCAGAAATTCACTCAATCTATGTAGTCACTGGTTGCTTCTGAGCAAATGCAATGCCTTTCTCAATGCTGGCCTTCAGTTCAGGCTTGAGAGCTTCCAGTGCCTTCTGTTCATACTCAGTCAGCCCTTGGAGGTCAGATGAAATGATAGCTTCGACCCCCTTCCTTCCAAGTTTTACCCTTGATGCGAAGAATGGAAGCTCAGTAAGATCTGATTGCACAAATGAGCACTCATAGACATCAGCATCACCATCCAATGCGCGAAGAGAAGATTCAACAAATCTGGCTGCAGCATATGCCATTGACAGGGTAGCAGACCCTGCCCCTTCCTTTGCCTCCACAACTTCTGTCCCAGCATTCTGGATCCTTACAGTTAGCTCTTGCACTTCCTCATCATTGAAACTAACTGGGGGTCTCGTCTTTGATAGGAGGGGAAGAATGGTTTTTCCAGCGTGCCCCCCTACTACTGGTACATCCACATCGATAAGCTTGAGATTCTTCTTCTGAGCAACAAATGTGTTTGCCCTAACAACATCAAGTGTTGTAACACCAAAGAGCTTCTTTGGATCATACACACCTTTCTGCTTCAAAACTTCAGCTGCAATTGGCAATGTAGAGTTGACTGGATTGCTGATAATGTGTATAAAAGCATCAGGGCAGTTATCAGCAACAGCCTCAACCAACGTCTTTACTATGTTGGCATTGATGCTGAAGAGGTCATCGCGGGTCATACCAGGCTTCCTTGGAACCCCAGCTGGAATGACAACAACATCAACACCCTTCAAAGAATTGGGTAATTCAGAAGATCCTGTGAAACCCAAGACTTGTGCAGGGGTGTTACAGTGACTGAGATCAGCAGCAACTCCCTTGACATTTGCTATATCATAGATGTGCAGGGCCGAAATCAATGGGGACATCTTAACTAGAAGTGCTAAAGGCTGACCTATCCCTCCAGCAGCTCCAAGAATT